ATAGGGGCAGTGTGAGTGTATGGGGCAGTGTGTGTGTATGGGGCAGTGTCCATGTGTATGTGTGTATAGGGGCAGTGTGTATGTATAGGGGTAGTGTGTGTGTATATGGTGCAGTGTGTGTGAATAGGGTCAGTTTGTGTGTATGGGGGCAGTGTGTGTGTGTATAGGGGGGCAGTGTGTGTGTATGGGGGCAGTGGGGGCAGTGTGTGTGTATGGGGCAGTGTGTGTGTGTATGGGGGGCAGTATGAGGCGGTGTGTGTGTGTATGGGGGCAGTGTGTGTAGGGGGGCAGTGTGTGTCTATGGGGGGCAGTGTGTGTCTATGGGGGGCAATGGTGTGTGAACCCCCCCCCCAGCCTACCTGTCACTGGGGGTCAGGCAGCCATCTTCTGAAGCAGCATGGGCTGCTGCATAACGGCGGGGGTGGGGCTTATCGGCGGGAGGTGGGGCTTCGTTTGGGGGCGGGGCCTGTGCCGGGCCCCCAGCACCTCAGCACTGCATTCCCTCGGGCTGTGACAGGCTGTTACAGTCTGAGGGAGGCCCATGGCCAGCAAGTTGCCAGCATTTGGGGGGGCCCAAGGGGGGGCACAGCATGATGTAGGGGGGCCATGGCCCCCTCTGGCCCCCCCCTAGCGACGCCACTGCTTGTAGCACCAGATCTGCAATTTTATGTCAAGACAGGAGGCTTCATATTTGCTGTACTTTCTTTACTGTAACTCCCAGCAGCAAAGAAACAGTTAACAGTAAGTAAAAAATTTAACCAATCAGAGTGTACAATAGAGTATGTCCAGTCATCAGGCTCCTCCCAGCTCCTCTTTCTTTGCTGCTAGCCTCCCAGGTGAGTTCCAATAACAGCATGTAATCAAAATCTAAAAATATATATATTAACATGGTTTCATTTATTTCTACTTCACCCAACATAACTATATTGCTTTATAATTCATTCTGTAATTCAATAAACTATCAGGTCGTTTTTCCAACTAACCTTAAACCCAACTAACGTTTGAACCACTGTCTCTTTAATTAATTTACCGCCGCCTGCAACTTCTGTCACATCCGAAACACATCGGATTACTGACAGAGCCGCGTCGGTAACCCGATCGCGGCCTCTGGCCGGCTGCCATGCATGGGCAGTATCACCACCTGTATTTTCCCTACCGTCACCATAGCGATGGGTCTGTCCTCCCGCGGCCATTTCCTTCCCCCTGCATTGCGTGGGCTTTATCCCGCGTTTCTTCTCTGCCATCAACGTCAGTTGCAGCTAGGTGATCTCCACAGCTCTCCAGCGCCTTCTTCTGGTTAGTCAGGTAAGTTACATAAAAAAACCAATACATGTAATGCATACATCTAATTAAACAGCACTTAGCTGGTACATTTCTTTTATTAAAGTGTCTTCACTTTGTTTTACTTTCAGATTAAAACCATCTAAACTCTAAAAATCCTTGCATAAGAGGGTGACCCCCTCTATACTAAATAATATTGTCTCATTACAGAGGGTGACCCCCTCCATACTATATTTGTCTGCCTCATTATAGAGGGTGATCCCCTCTAAAAAGCATATTAATATTGCCTCAAATTTACAGAGGGTGACCCCCTCTACTTTATAAGCCATATTTTGCCTCCTAAAGGGTGATTCCCTCATTAATCTGTACTACTCTGTTTATTTCTACTGCATTTTATTTGTGGGTGACTCCACGATCAATTGGTGACTGACACCATTCTTAATACAACGCTTTGTGTTACTATGCCAAAAACAAGTCCACCGCCTATTGAATTATTTGTTATAAAAAAAATTCATTTATTATATATTTTATATATTACGTGTGGTGACCCCACTTTACTGCAGTTATGTCCGATTTATCTGAACCAGCAGTCCCTACGGTGTTCAAAGCTTGGCTGTATAATGCCATTGCGGACTCTATTCCAAAAGCCTTAGTAGCTTTCCACCACCAGTCAAAATCCACCTCTAGAGCCCCTATTGTGCATTTGTCAAACAGTCAAAAAGCTCAGACCATGAGGAAAACCCCCCGCAAACGCCCCTGGAAGGGCAATAGTGCTACCGCCGGTAAAGGCAAAGCACCGGCTAAAACGCCTAGATTATCCATTCCAGATACTCGGATTAATAACCCCAATTATAACCTGGACCCATTAGAGGGTTCCACCTCCAACCTGCAACTTCAAGTGATTGACGTATACTGTGCAGGGTATTTGGACGAGGTTTTTCCCTCTCACAAACGAAATGAACCCCATTTCTGAGGATGTTCTGAGGATACCCTTGGCCGTCCCCTGTTCGAACCTAGATACATCAAACACCCATGGTCGACTGAGTGGACCCCCCCAGACATTGCTAAATTCTGCAGGATGTGGCTGCGTAAGCCTTTGGAAAAGGAAGTGAGAGCTAAGTTAAGAGCAGAATGCCCATGACCTTTTATCCCAGACAAGGTAGCTGTTACCCCAGAATTTGATCCCATGCTCGTCACCTTCCTATACAAATCCGGAAAAGATCCCCGTAAGGGTTTGGAACAAGGCCTGAAGGCAACTCAAGATAAGATGATGGATATGGTGGGACCGCTTATCCAAATATTCAGTATTGCGGATGAGGCTTTGGCAGGTGGCACTTTACATGCGCACATGGTGTGTGAATGGACACAAAGTGCATTATGCCTACTTGGCAACACCAATGTAGCCATGTCAACTGAAAGGCGGAAAGCCGCCCTATACAAAATTGACTCAAAACTTGCCGAACTAGGCACTAAAGAGCTTGGCCCTGAGGCAGAAGGCTTGCTTTTTGGAGACAAATTTATTAAGGAGTTAAGCAAACACGAACAAATACAACCTGGGTGCTAAATTTTTTCAAAATTGCTTCACACTCTGGTGTAATCCCAAACTCCACCAAAAAGAGAAAGTAATGTGTGCTAGTGAGTGGAGCAATTTTACCATATATGAGACAGAAGAAAAAAAGTATATATATACAAACTGGTTTCGATGTTAAGTGTAGCTCCCAGCAATAATTATATATATGCAAAGAAAAAGGGAAAAACAATGATAGTGCAGATTGTATGAAAAATATATAGACATATATATTTACAGTGATTCATAGATTATGAAGTATCACTTTAAGAAATGTTATGGTGAAACTCCAATAAGAAAAAACTGACATAAATTTATTATCTGCCACATGCAGAGAAAATAGTACATATATACATAAAATAGAATGATAAAAAGATAGGATGACAAGCCCCTTACTAGATTAGGGGGTGAGTGTGACACATATATGTCAACTCACTATAAGAGTTTAATCGTTGGGATGGCAGGCTGCTTATCCGGCGTTCTTCCTGTTCGGCTGCTAGAAAATCTCCTCGTGTGTTGTCTGCTGCCAGAAAACAAACGCCTCAGGACTCCGTGGTCTGCAAGCTGACGTCATACAAAGGGGGAGGAAACCATAAAAAAGGACATCCGGAGATTGCTGGCTCCACCATATCTCCGTCTCAGGGATTTAGCCCACACAATCGGATTACTCTCCGCCTCAATCCAGGCAATACTTCCAGCCCCACTACACTATTGGGCAATGCAAGGTTTGAAAACACACTACTTACATCGTTCAACATCTTACGAACAACTGATTTTTCTCTCAGACGAAGTCCAATTGAAACTCCACTGGTGGCATCAACATATGGAAGCCTGGAATGCAAGGGCTATCTTTGGCCGACAACCCAATTTCATTCTGGAATCAGACACCAGCCTCCTCGGATGGGGTGCCACTTGCTCGGAACGTTCTACCGGATGCCTCTGGTCCCCATCAGAACAGGCACTAAACATCAATTGCCTTGAACTAATTGCTGGTTCTTTCGCGATCTGCAGTTTTGCCAAGGAAGCGTACAACTGCAGCCTTATCCTGAGGTTGGACAATGTCTCAGCAGTATGATACGTGAACCGCCTAGGTGGCTCCCGATCAACGATGCTATCGGATCTGACAAAGGAATTGTACCAATTCTGCCTGGACAGGAACATCTCCCTTCGTGCAGAATATCTCCAGGGCTCCGACAATCTTGTCGCAGATTGGTTCTCCCCCAACTGGAGGGATTCCAGCGACTGGCAACTAGATCCACAAATTTTCCATCACCTGCAGGCTCTGAGAGGACCACTCAACCTGGACCTGTTTGCATCTCACCTGAACCGTCAGACGGACGCATTCTTCAGCTGGCTTCCAGACCCAGCGTGCCTTGCAGTGGATGCCTTCCTCCAACCGTGGCCAACATCCGGAGCATATGCCTTTCCCCCGTTCTCCATGATCCCACACACGGTACAATACCTCAGAACACAGGGCATCACGATAACACTGTTGACCCCACTGTGGCGAACCCAACCATTGTTCCCCTATCTCCTGGAGATGTCAGTGGACTACCCACTACTCCTACCCATCTCCTACGACCTCCTCAGGGACCCTTCAGGCAACTTCCATCCACTAGCACTACAAGGCCACCTCCTGTTAGTGGCCTGGACCATTTGAGGGGATCCTGGAACGTCTCTGGCCTTTCGACTGCTGCTCGAGGACTCCTATGGGACTCTTGGGCCCCAGGAACAAGACGCTCTTATCTCTCAGCATGGCAACGTTGGAATAGCTGGTGTTTGAAGAGGGACGTTGATCCCTTTTCAGCCTCTTTGATTAACATCATGAACTTTCTGGCATCACTCTTCGAACAGGGTAAGTCTTATCGGTCAATTAATGTTTTCTGTTCCGTCACTTCGGCAGCTCATACCCCTGTTGACAACTCTGCGGTTGGCAAACACCCCTCCATATGTAGACTCTTGCGGGGCATCCGACTCGCGAGACCCTCGGCTCCCAAATATAATCAATTTTGGGATGTTGCTATTGTGCTCTCCTTCTTAGAGACTTGGCCCTCTAATGAAGAGCTCTCTCTCCGACCTAACTGGCACTGCTGCTCTGCCTGGTATCTTTTAGAAGAGTTTTGGACATCAGAGCATTTGACGTCCATGCCCTTGATTTTACCCCTTAGGGAGTACACTTCTCCATTATCCGGCGCACCAAAACCAATTCATCTATGGTAAGCTACCCTTACTTCCACGACAAACCCATGCTCTGCGTAGCTAGCTGCGTCTGACACTACATCCTTTGCACTAATGCCCTTAGACCACAAATAGGCCCCCTACTGGTGGGTGTCCTACGTTCGACCTCACAAACCAGTGTCATGCCCCACGATTGCTCGTTGGATCAAGTGGCTACTGACCCTAGCAGGCATCGACCCATGTTTCGGTGCTCATTCATTGAGAGGCATGGCTGCCTCTTCTGCATTTACGTCTGGAGGCTCCCTAACGGAGATCCTCACATCCGCAGATTGGTCCAGAGAATCCACCTTCAGAACATTCTATTTCAGACAATCCTCTCATGTATCTAATTACATCTTATCATTGCTTTAAATCAGCAAATATCAAGCCTCCTGTCTTGACATAAAATTCGGGATTATTCCAGCCTTAGTGACCGAATAATCTAAATTTTATTAAAGACAGGAGGCGAATATTTTCCCGCCCGCTAGAATACGCACCCAACCCATCTAGGTAGATATTCCACAACACCTCTATTTAATAAACCAATTATTTTCGTAATCTAGGTCCCAGGCTACTCTTTACAACTACATTTACAGATACTATCCACATTAACTCATAACTTAAGACTTGTCAGAATATTTGGTGTACACTTTGGTTGGAAACATATCATTTAACCCCTTAAGGACACATGACATGTGTGACATGTCATGATTCCCTTTTATTCCAGAAGTTTGGTCCTTAATGGGTTAAAATAATTAAGTATTGTTTTTCTTATCCAAGAAACAATACTTTCTCAACCTCTCTCTCTCTTTTTTCCTAGTGTGAAAACCCTTCACTATCCTCCCAAGGAATTACCTACGTTCTTTCCAAATCGTTTACATGGTTGACTTCATTTTGAACTGTTCATTGTTTAACTGTTTGTTTACATGGTTGATTCTACGGCTGCATCAAGAAAGAGGAGCTGGGAGGAGCCTGATGACTGGACATACTCTATTGTACACTCTGATTGGTTACATTTTTTACTTACTGTTAACTTTGCTTCTGGGAGTTACAGTAAAGAAAGTACATCAAATATTCGCCTCCTGTCTTTAATAAAATTTAGATTATTCGGTCATTAAGGCTAGAATAATCCTGAATTCTAGAGGATTGATGAAAACATTGATGCATTTTTAGATGCTTTTTTAACAGTTACACAATATGAAATTAAGTATAATAAAAGGATCCCACATAATTCCAAAACATTTAAAGAACATGTTACATGTAATACTATTTCTGAATGGATAAATTAACTGTAATTTTCAGTGTCTTATATGTCTAATATCTGAGCCTCACAGGAGTCTGACTGGACTAAAGTGGACACGTATCTCTACCTACTAGGCCAACTAAACTGCAAACAGACATATAAGCGCACAAAAAATCACCCCCAACTGTGTTTCTCAACCTTATACAGAGAAGTACCCTTGTAGGTCTAAAAAACATCCTTAGTATCCCTACCTCAAAAAAAAATTATTTTCTATTGATTTAAAGTCCAAATGAAACATATAGACACTGATATTTAAATTAATCCCATATTAAGCCTAATGAAAAGTTGTAAAGAATATTTTAACAATAAATATGACTTAATGTAAATATTGACTATAGCAAATCAACTGGAAAAAGGCTGTAAATTATGAACCAGATTTGGGTGCTATCTTAAAGAGGAATCCCTTAACGCCAAACAACATAAAACTAAATACAAAAAGAAAAATGATTACACATTATACACCCTTAAATTAATAGTGTATATTCCACACAATAACAAAATAAATTTAATTGGTGATAAAAAGAAAAAAAATGTTTCTACAAGATTCAGCAAGTGATAGTAACACAAAGGATCTGATATATTGATAAAGTAAGATACATAGGAGTTTCTAGCACTTGTCCCTTCAATAATTTCAATAACTGTGCTAGTGTTACTAATAATTACATTTATCACCAATTAAATTTATTTTGTTTTTGTGTGGAATATATTTTAATCTTAATTTTGTGTTGGATTTCTTAGTTCTAGGGTTAACCCCATGTGGAGTGTACGTTTAGATCAAGCTAGTTTTTGATTCCATTTGTTAAATACAAAAAGATGCACACCTTAAAAATCAAAACACTTTATTATACACTCAAAAAAATCAACAAAACAGAAATGAATGACAATAATGCAATATTGCAAAAAAAAAAAAAAAAATCAGTGATAGAGGCTATATAACATTAGCTAAACCATAACGACATAACAGCTCACTAGCAAATTACCTCAAAGGACTGACACGTGTACCAAACATACCCCAACATTTAGGCACAAACCCCAGCACCTTTCTCCATTGGTGTTTTAAATAGCCCTCCTTCCAGCTGATGGCCGTATAAGGAGTAAATCACAAATGAGTCTGGGCATGACATCATCACGCCCAATTACATAGTTACATAGCTGAAAAGAGACTTGCGTCCATCAAGTTCAGCCCTCCTCACATAGGTTTTGGCTGTTGATCCAAAAGAAGGCAAAAAAACTAGTCTGTAGCGCTTCCAATTTTGCAGCAAACTAGGAAAAAATTCCTTCTTGACCCCAAAATAGCAGTCAGATGTTTCCTTGGATCAAGCAGCTATTACCCCACTAATTAGAAATGATATCCCTGTAAGTTATGATTTTGCAAGTATTTATCCAATTTCAATTTAAACATCTGTATGGACTCTGATAAAACCACCTCTTCGGGCAGAGAATTCCATATTCTTATTACTCTTACTGTAAAAAAACCTTTCTTTGCCTTAGACGAAATCTCCTTTCTTCCAGCCACATGTGACCTTGTGTCCTATGTATAGCCCTGTTTATGAATAGATGTCGCTTGATTAATATCCCCAAAACCAGTACACATATTGCTCAAGAATCAATAAACATAATAAAAAAACAGTGATAAAAACAATTAAATCCCCTTGAATGATACCTTACTTGCGCGTGCACATGTGTAGCCATTGGTATCTTAAATCAGGTAATGCTATATACTAGCCGAAAACCACGCATTCGCCCAAAGGCAGCACTCTTGGTTATGTGATTCGGCTTAACCCAGAGGATTAAACTAACGAATGCACTCGAAAGCAGCGCTCAAGACTATATAGATTGACAGAACCCAGACGAACGCAGTCATATCAGGAACTGCAGCGATTCACTTATTAAACTAAACAAGATTATCAAAATAAACAAACATATTTAACCCCTTAAGGACCAAACTTCTGGAATAAAAGATAATCATGACATGTCACACATGTCGTGTCCTTAAGGGGTTAAACGAACGATCATATATACAATCTGCCATAACTATTAAGTAATAGATCATGTCCCAGAAAAATGTCCCAGATGTACAACACCGTACTAAAGGGTAGTATTTACCATTACGATAAAATACATTTACCCACAGACACACTGAATGGAAAATTTACATCTAACGTGAATAAATAAACCCATAACCAAAATGACATAACCACCGCAGTGAGAAGATTAAGATTCCACTGTAAAATCCAGTGCACCTACAATAAATGTAAATATTGTGCATGTAAGGAAGAGTATATGAACTATTAATCAGAAGTATAAAAGTCACACAATGAAAATGCAATAGACACATAATAGTTACACACAGAGGACACTGGCATGCGTACACATTTACACACAGAGGCTACTGACACACACATTAAACACAGAACACATATATAGCTACAGAAAGAGTACACTGACACAGACATTGACACAGAGGATACACTCACTGACAGACACACTCTCACTGTTTTGACACAGACTGACAGACACAATTACTGACATGCATTTACTGACAGACACAGTCACTGACTGACAAACACGGTTATGCATGGAGACGCTGAATGCTCCACATAGAGATGCATTGATTCTATGAAGGAGATGATGATTGCTGCAGTGCAGGGTTTTACCACGCAATGGCCTCCTAATGCTTTCCTAAGGGAGGAGGCGGGTCAGCAGAGGCGAGAGAAAAGGTAAGTAAACTACGTTTTCATTGCAATCTAAGGGGCCGGGGACATAGACAGCCACTCCAACACTATTGTTTGTATCCCTAACACTATAGTATCCCTTTAAGAATAGTCAACACAACTTTTATTTTAAGCTCTGTTAAGAATGTGTCCAAGGATTATACTTAGTTGTTGGGCTATGGTGTCACCTTGTCAGGAGGACCAAGAAATCCTACACTCAAAGTGTGGATCAGTACCAGGGCAGAAACAATAATGGGCAGAGGTATATTAGTAAGCTGTAAAATTGTTGGGCTTAATGTACCTTAGCAGAAGGATAAAAGCGTGTCATATATTCTAGACATTAAACAAATAAGAACTGGTTTAACATCTTCTATATTCTAGACATTAAACAAATAAGAACTGGTATAAAGAAGTGTTTCCCACTACTCAAGAGCCGCGCGCGCATTCAGCCAGCCCATAGTAAAGCATTCTCAATGCTTTCCTATGGACGCTGGCGTCTTCTCACTGTGAAAATCTCACTGTGAAAAGCCGCTAGAGGCTGGATTAACCCATTTGTAAACATAGCAGTTTCTCTGAAACTGCTATGTTTACAGCAAAAATCATCATCTCCTTCATAGAATCAATGCATCTCTATGTGCATAATGGAGATTTGCCTTTGTCTTGGGAGATAATTGAATTACTTCTCAATTATCTCCCAGGGCAGAGGGGAGGAAGCCAGGATGCATTGTGGGAATATACTGTGACTGTGTGTCCTATTTGTCTGCTTGTCTGTCCCTTGTCACAGTCTCCCATTTGGTCCCCTAGGGCAGTGTTTCCCACCCCAGTCCTCAAGGCACACCTACCAGTCCAGGATTTAGGGATTACAGGGTGTGTCTAAGGTGTTTTTACAAAGAAGAAAAAAAACACCTTAGACACAACTGGGTAATCCCTAAATCCTGGACTGGTAGGTGTGCCTTGAGGACTGAGTTGGGAAACACTGCCCTAGGGGAGTGTCCACCAGGTGGGAGACCTGCATAAATACTGGGCAGGTAGCCCTCATTTAACAGACCACTGCTTGACCCTCAACACGGAGCCTTGTCTCGTCTTTGGGAGGATTTACTGAATGCTGATAGAGACTGATTGCTAGGAGTGTA